ATGGGACTGGCGAGAATTGGTATTAGGGGGAGGGACACGTTCAGTGCTCAGCAAACATGAGAGCCGCAGAAGATGAATAGCAAACCCGTCGATTGATTCAAGCCATTGTTTGGCCAAGGTACCATCAGCAAACGAAGAAAGAATGTCGGCTGCCAATAATCCCTGCATGAGGAATACCTTGCGGGCGTCCGCTATGGCCAGATGTTTCCGCAGTTGATCGGGGACTGGACAAATAGCTAGTCCGAAAGCACGGGTCAGCAATTCATGCTGCGAACCGGGCGCTCCATCACCGGAGAATATTGCTTTGAAGAATGTCCTGTTGGGGTCATCTCTGGCCAGAAGCTTAGCCAAGCTGTCGACGGCGGCGGGTGTGTATTTGTGAATCGAGGCGTTGTAGGATGTAAACATGACGCCGTCCTCACCCAACGTCGGAGGCGGGAATGGAGCAAAAGACAGAAGAAAGTGCAATAGACAAAGGGCCTCCTCTTTGCTTGGTAACTGAATCACATGTGCCAAATTGCTCAAATAGATGACAGCGTCCTTCATGAAATCCAATGTGTTCTGATGGGATCGAAGAAGCATGTTTCGAGTCCCTAAGTATCGGATAATGGTTGATATGAACTGTACAACGGGGGCAGTTGATAATAACCCAAAGTTCGACTCAGTGAAGGAAAGATTCCGCAATATTGTGGTGACGCAGATGAGTCTGTCAACAGCCCGATCGAGCTCATATTCGAGGCTTCCAAACTCAGGGACGTCGGCAAGAGAAGTCCATTCCGCCTGACATCCACGAGTAACCTCCTCGTACGAGGGCAATAACATCACATCCGAAACCTCCACGGCGTGTTCAGCAAGGAGATCAGCTTGGTCCTCGGCACATTCGATCAAACTATCAATCAAATCTTCACAATTATCGAGCGAGATTTGGACGGCTGGTTCACAAGAGAGGGATACAAGAGTATCCAGCGCCAGGCGCATCTCCGCATGAATACCAGACTTGATGCTCATTGTGAGCGCGTGAATGTCAATGACACCAAGCTCGGCAAAGGAAGGCACATTTGGTTTCAACCTAGTTAATTCTTCCCCAAGCTGGTACATTTCATCCAAAGCTATCGGACCGTGCAAGTTGCTCTCCGGCAAAACCATTGGTTTGAAAGGATCTTGTATCGGATGTTTCAAAGGTTGATCAGAGGGTTGCTCGAATGTCTTCGCCGACTTTCCCGGTGTTCCCCCAAGAGGTTTTGTTGACTGCGCAGGGGACTGGTTTGGTAACTGGCCTGTAGAATCCTGCGGGGTTGCTGGAGGCTGAGACTGGCGAGATACACTTAGTCTATGCTGTTGTTGTTTGTTCGACGTTTTGACTTGGGTCGGGGTCGCGAAGCCATTTGGAACGTTTTGCTGCGCATTGTTTGCTACCGACATGCTACCAGGAGAGGCACCAACTGGTTGAGGTACTTCGAACCCTTGGCCCTGTTTGATTGTTGGCGACTGAAACTGGAGAGCTGAAGGATCGCTTGGCTGTCGCGGCAGAGAGTTTTGCTGCATTTGATCGGCAAACTGCTTCTGTTGCGTGCTGAGGAAAGCCTGTTCGTACGCAGCGAGGTTCCTTTGATAATGCTCCCGAATCTCCTGTACAGCCATAGGAAATTGCATCGGAGGGAACTGAAGCTGTTGGGCTATTACAGGCCACATGTTTGCAGCGCTTACCTTCTTTGACCCACCCAGCTTCATGACCGTCGCATAGAGCTGGACCAGGTTGATAGGGCGACCACAAACTATGGGATTCGGATCCAAAGGCAGATTGCGCGACATCATAAATTTCTGCAACGACCTCATAAAGCCCTCAGGATTGGGTGGTTTCGCCATATTTTGCTGCATTTGCCTGATGGCTGCCATTTGCTGAGGATTTGCCATCGCGTTCATTCCCGCTGCCACGGGGCGTCCTGCCATCGCAGGATTCATATTCATAGGACGACCTTGGCTCTGCATCTGCAATGCATGCAGTCGCTGCTGTTGAGCCGCCATCGCTTGCTGATATTGCGGCATACTGCTAAAGTGCGCTTGCATGGGCGCCTGCACAGCAGCAGAAGTCATCGTAGGAGCGGGTGCAAATTGCGGGCCCATCCCTTGATGGAAAGGTTGACCTTGAATAAACGAATTATTTTGCGGTGTGTTGACTCTACTTGGATGATCTGATTGTGGCGGGGACATATGAGGCCCGACATGGTGGCCAGCGGGCGAGAATGGGCTAGGAGAGGCAGTTCCCAGTCGTTGCACACCGTGCTGGTCAAAGTCTTGCATGATGGGGGACTGAGTGACATTGGTCGGAGTCCCTTGCTGGAAATGTTGGTACGGCGCGGCATGGGAAGGGAATTGCTGCGCGCCGTTCGCAGGCCCCTGGTAACCAGGGTAAGGCACTTGATGAGGCGTCTGAGATCGCGATACAGACAGCCCACCAGGCGCTTGCCTGGGTGACATTGAGAGACCATCCTCTGGTCGCGACCTCTTGGACGGAATCACCTGGTTAGGGTTGTGGAATCCGGGGGAAGCATTTCGCGGTACTCCATTGAACATGCGCTGGAACTGATTGGGGTCTGGCGGCGTGGGCGATGCATGGAGAAATGCTGTAGATGGATCTATTGTTGTTTGATTAAAGGCACCATTGTCATGGCTCTGGAGGTTCGAGGCGTCGGCTAGCCAGGCATTCATGTCGTGTGGTCTTACCAACCCATCTGCAAGGCGATGATCGTCAGTGAATGTGACACACGCACAGAACAGGCTTGGTCATCATCAATAAGCAACTGTCGGACTCGCGACGAAATCAACATGGAAATCAATGATGCAACAGATGGGACAACTATTGACAAAAGTCATCACAGAAAGGGCAAGGTGGGGGCTATAGACGCGTCGGAGGTTGTGGTTGAGTCGCGCTTTTGAGTCTGCGACACGGGCATTTGAGAAGCAACGACCACACAGAACAGAGTTATCGGAGACATTCGACGCAAGAGCTGCAAGTAATGGAGAGACGAAAAAGATCGGTACTGAAGGAATAAAATTAGCGCAAAGATTTTGTACATACCGACAAGGCTGGATAACTTAGATGCCGACTCGTAAGCGTACGATTACACCGGTCCCGAAATAGCAGTGGTTGAGAGGCCTGAGAGAGTGCAAGGACGATGGGAAGTCACGGGATTCCAGGCGCCGGAGCGCAAAGGCAGAAAACAGGGATGGGAACTGTCAGAGGCTCAACCATCAGTGTAAGTAAAGAAGCAGCTAAGCTGTAACACCAGGATAAATAAAAAACGGTAACAAAAAAATACAAGAGTAATGACGACTTTAATCAATAAGACGAAATAATAAGCCAAAGAAGCGCTGGAACTATGAGCACCACAGGATGGGGATTGCAACGTGTGTGACTGGTCCCGAAGAATGGCCAGATTGGATAGCCAGTAGTGCGTGGCGACACATGTTGAAGTGTGCTCCTGGACAGAAACAGGCACAATCCAATGGCATAAGACAAGTGGGTGGGTGGTCTAGTATTGAACGTACCAGATCCAAGTAAAGCAGTGAACAGGAAAGCCGTAATTTTGTTTTATTTTAATGAAATTCCTTCCTGTATTTCGATGAGGGGAAGGGGGGCCGCTTGAAAAGGCAGACAAAGTGGAGGCGTGGGAAGACAAGAATGGAACAAGCGTAAGAGGAGTGTGCAGCAGTAGCAGTCCAAAGATAAGAGAAATGGAAGGGATGATATTGAAACCAGACAAAAAGAGGTACGTACGGGTACTGGGGGTACCTTAGTCTTCCAGTAGGTTATTTTACCAGCAGCAGCAACGGAAGAGAGGCCAGTCAGTTAGTCGGCAAAAGGGGGTCGAACAAAAACGGCAGAAGAGAAGCAGCGAGAACAAGCAACGAGCGGATCAGGGTGCAATAATGCCACTGTGCTGATTAGGTAAGCACATCATGTGGAATGCCGCTGTTCCTCTTCCGGCCGTCCAGAGACTCCAGATATGACCAAGATCTTCTGCTCCAGCACTTAAGGATTGCGCCGTCACTTTTCTCGAAACTAATTAAAAGAAAGTGATATGCTCTGGAGTAAAAAACTCCCATGTTGAATTCATTGAATTCATCTCCTGCCAGGTCCACCTTTCTTTTTAAGGTTTTGACTTCATCGGAAGTGTCCCTTGATCCTGTTGCCGCCATACTGGGGTTAGTTAGCACCCGATCAGGAATAGGAGCAAGATTTATAGGTGTTAATATTTTGCCAAGGGTGTTGTAAATTTTTGGCACTGAGACTTGATCACTCAAGATTGTTCCTGGATATCCAGAGTGCTTTCTCTCAGTCTCCTTTTCAGTACCATGGCAGAGCATTTGATATTGGAGGCACAAATGATCCTAAATGTCAAGCGCTGACTGTGCACATCGCTCATGCAAATTGCTAGGTCTTGGTCCTCCCGGGGTACATGACCACAACGTATACAGAGTATGGCTAGGAGTTTCAACAAACTCCAGCTGGTGGGGCTGTTATGACAACCATAGAGGCGATTATCATAGGGGCGAAGTTGATGGGAGGTCAAAGAAGACGCATGATGACCAGCAGCTGGTATCGACTTCCAGTCAACTTGGGAGAACCGGTGCTATAGCCAGCAAGATACGATATATTGATGTGAAGGACAAAGGAAAACGATGAGACGCAGAGCGAAGAACCGGAACTAGATACTTATACTTCGAGGAATTAGAATACTAGTGCCCAGTTGGCCTGAAAGATGCCGAAAAATAGTGGTCATACGTCGTTATTTGCGCAATTTTTAGCAAAGTGACTGGTCAGAACATAGTAAGGTACCCATCTGGGTATATCCAGGTGTCGACTGTTGAGTAAATGAGTGCCTTCCTCCTACGAGGTTGATCATCTCGACGCTACCTGCTGCGTACACGCCTTGATCCATTTCCATGCTAACCCCACTCAAAGAAGCGCAGTCGATCCATGACAATAACAAGCCCCAGGACCATGATATCGTCTTTCGACTTTGACTCGGCTCCTATACTCCGTACTCTACTTCAAGGTACAATTCTTTCGGCACAAATAGGCATGATCGGTTTCATTCTCGCCTACATAGACATTTCAATTGACAGCAATTGTGTAACAAGAGTGCCCGGAGTACTACTACTAGCAGTAATAATCATTCCACTAGCGCTTTTCGATGGGCGCCTATCTCATAGATACCCGATCGTATTGCAGTCCGTGAACCTTTGACTTGTGCGCAATTGTAAGTCATTGTGAGTCTTGCAGGCGGATTCTTCAGGTTCAACTTGTTCATGAATGTGTTTGCTAGTTGCACTTCGATCTCACGCCACACCTTCGACGGTCATTAGCCGAAAGTCTATGTGCAAATATACCTTAGCATTCGAGGAATACACAGAGGGACGTTGTGGGTCTCAAGTCTTAGCACATGGAATTACATTCTTTGGCACTTGAATTTTTTGCTGAAAGAATCGGAGGCAGTGCTGCAGGCGGTTAGGCTGTTTGGATTGCTTCGAGTATCCTGAGGACCGACAAGCAGAAAGAGCTTTGGTCCTGCCATGGCTTTATTGCAGATGGCCAAGTTACCTTGTGGTTAAAGACGTATAAATCATGCATCTTCCGGCCGATTCTCGCTTATTGCTGGACACTGAGCATCCTGATTTATATATAGTTCTAGCCAGGTATCCGGAATGGACAAAATGGTCATAATCGCGCGTATAAAGAGGCCGGAGTGCGAAATCGACAATACAGATACATATGGAGTAAACACATCTGCTTTCAAGAACTTAGGTATATGCAAAAGGATGAATCAAGAACTTGATGAGATCGGATTCCCAGAAGTTCGATAGCTCTCTGGCGGCGCCAAGCTACACAGTCACGTGACTACAACTTGAGCTGTTGGTGGTATGGGAGCCGGCCTTCATTATTATTCATACGAAAGCTCCAAGCGAGACGAACTCAATACACAAGCAACGCCCTTTATACTTGACGCGAGGCTTGTCCTTACAGTTTCTTTCCCTGAAAACTTTCAAGCGACTCCTGCAGCCGTCCACACCCATTCTTCAAACGCACGCCTTCGTTCATAATGGGAGACGTCGCCGTGGAGAGCTTGGCGACCAACGTCACGCCTAGCAAGTCGGCGCCATTCGATACCATCCCTAATATAGACTCTCTCGAAGGCACAGATGCAGATGGAGGTGATGAGTATGCAACTTTGAAGAGACTTCAGAGACACTTAGAGTAAGACACCTTACGAGAGACTCAGATTTGTTATCATCAGGTAGTAACCCAAAGCAGATACATCCAGCTTCAAGAAGAGTACATTAAGGATGAACAAAGGTAAGTCACAACCCATCCTCAATATTATATCAACAACTGCAGCAGCTAAGTGATCCATCTGATTGCAGGAGTTTGAAGCGAGAGCTCGTCCGTGCGCAGGAGGAGATCAAACGGATACAGAGCGTGCCTCTCGTTATTGGACAATTTATGGAAGCTATCGATCAGAAGTATGGCATCAAGAGGATGACGAAAGGAGATATACTGACTGAAATTCCCCAGTACCGGTATCGTGCAGTCGTCAACTGGCTCGAATTATGTCGTTCGCATCCTTTCCACACTCGATCGCGAGAAGCTCAAGCCATCCTCCTCGGTCGCCCTGCACCGCCATTCCAATGCCCTTGTCGATATTCTGCCTCCGGAGGCAGATTCGTCCATTGCCATGCTCGGTGAGAACGAAAAGCCAGATGTCACTTACGCCGACGTCGGTGGATTGGACATGCAGAAACAGGAGATTAGGGAGGCTGTCGAGCTACCCTTGACGCATTTCGACCTCTACAAACAGATTGGTGAGTTGGAGACATCGAGAGCAATGTCTAGTGCTGGTTTGCTTACGCTACTCAAGGTATTGATCCGCCTCGTGGTGTTCTACTTTACGGCCCTCCCGGTACTGGTAAGACGATGTTGGTCAAAGCTGTGGCAAACAGCACAACTGCCAGCTTCATTCGTGTGAACGGCTCGGAGTTTGTTCAGAAATACTTGGGAGAAGGTCCTCGCATGGTTCGTGACGTGTTCAGAATGGCTCGTGAGAACTCACCCGCCATTATCTTCATTGACGAAATCGATGCAATTGCTACCAAACGATTCGATGCCCAGACTGGTGCCGATCGTGAAGTTCAGCGTATCCTGCTTGAGCTCCTCAATCAGATGGACGGCTTCGAGCAGACAAGCAACGTGAAGGTCATCATGGCCACCAACCGAGCGGATACTCTGGATCCGGCCCTCTTACGTCCAGGTCGTCTGGATCGTAAGATTGAGTTTCCGTCGCTGCGTGACCGACGGGAGCGTCGACTGATTTTCACCACTATCGCATCAAAGATGTCTTTGTCCCCAGAGGTCGATCTGGATTCACTCATCGTACGAAACGAGCCACTCTCTGGTGCTGTTATTGCCGCCATTATGCAGGAAGCTGGACTACGTGCTGTTCGCAAGAACCGCTACAATATCATCCAGTCTGACCTTGAGGATGCCTATGCTGCTCAGGTCAAGACCGGCCAGGAATCGGACAGGTATGCTCTTCCCTGCATTCAAATCTGTCTCACCACCAGTTCTAACTATTGCGTTACAGGCTCGAATTCTACCGGTAGATTATGTACAATAATAGGTAGTTATGAGGTGGAAATGGGACTCGGCCAGGCGAAAGAATAATCATGGATTGAACGCTCAACATTAGGCAGTCTACATGTAGTACAGCGAAAGATGCATTTTTTGGAGAACCTGAACATTATTCTCCAGGATATTAATCTTTTGCCAGTAGATAGTAGCACAGTACACACGAGTGCCTGCTTTAGCATTCGCCACCTCCTTGGACAAAACAAGATTGTACCTTCGCTGACGCCAAGATGGGCTTACCTAGTAAGCAGGCACCAGCACTAAGAACTGAAGTTACATCATCAAGCAAGTTACAGTAACAAGTACAGAACTAGTCAACTATTAGGAGATACATGAACACTAATTCACCATCAGAGCGGCAAGTTCAAGAGAGAAAACGTGATGGGTTGTACTTGGTATCAAGGGCCGTACCTGGCCGTCGTACGTATGTAGCAACCAGGCCGGAAGTGCTTATCAATTGATCCGACTCCCGTGACGATCCCCTCCCCAGCCCTGGTGACGCAGTTGGATCACGTTGATTTGCGGATCCAAAGCAGGGGCGTAGCTCCGCAACCAGTCATCCGCATCACCTCCACTTCCCAGGCGTCAGCTCCCGTTCCATCTACCTTAACTGCCTACTCCGTACCGACTCTTCATCTCTTAACCATCTCTCTCTTCTCTCTCCATCGTCTCCACCATCGAAGATTATACGTTCTTTCTGTTGTTTTCAGTCCGTTCTCTTCATAGATTATTGTTCACGCACTTTACCAGTCATGAAGTCCACCTCCTTGCTCACAGCCTCTGTGCTGTTGGGCTCCGCCTCGGCTGCTGTCCACAAACTGAAGCTTAACAAGGTTCCTCTAGATGAACAGCTTGTAAGTGACCTTGACAGCCCCTCAATTATCTCATGACTTCTCGACAAGACACGCTGGGGAGCCGATGAGGGCTAATGAAAATGCTGCAGTACACCCATAACATTGACGCCCATGTTCGCGCCCTGGGTCAGAAATACATGGGTATCCGTCCCAATGTCCACCAGGAGCTCCTGGAGGAAAACTCGCTCAATGATATGAGCCGCCACGACGTCTTGGTTGATAACTTTTTGAACGCACAATGTAAGGCATCAGAGCTGAGCAGCAGTAGTATCCGCAGTAATTGCTAACACTCTTCTTAATAGACTTCTCCGAGATTTCGCTTGGCACTCCCCGCAGAAGTTCAAGGTTGTCCTTGACACTGGTAGCTCGAACCTGTGGGTCCCTGGTTCAGACTGTAGCTCTATCGCCTGCTTTCTGCACAGCAAGTACGATTCTTCCGCCTCGTCCACCTACAAGGCGAATGGCACCGAGTTTGCCATCAAGTACGGATCCGGCGAGCTCAGCGGGTTTGTGTCTCAGGACACACTCCAAATTGGTGATTTGAAGGTTGTGAAGCAGGACTTTGCTGAGGCCACCAATGAGCCTGGTCTTGCTTTTGCCTTTGGCCGGTTTGACGGCATTCTCGGATTGGGCTACGACACCATCTCCGTCAACAAGATTGTTCCTCCTTTCTATAACATGCTGGAGCAGGGACTTCTGGACGAGCCTGTCTTCTCCTTCTACCTGGGAGACACGAACAAGGAAGGCGACAACTCCGAGGCCTCCTTCGGGGGTGTTGACAAGAACCACTACACCGGTGAATTGACCAAGATTCCTCTCCGCCGAAAGGCGTACTGGGAGGTTGATTTCGATGCCATTGCTCTTGGTGACAACGTCGCTGAGCTTGAGAACACCGGTATCATTCTCGACACCGGCACTTCTCTTATTGCCCTCCCGTCCACTCTTGCCGACCTGCTGTAAGTTGTCAAAATGCGTTATCATTGGGATTTTTCGCTTGTGCTGACTTCTTTTCTTTAGCAACAAGGAGATTGGTGCTAAGAAGGGCTTCACTGGTCAATATTCTATTGAATGCGACAAGCGTGACTCCCTGCCCGATCTCACCTTCACCTTGGCTGGTCACAACTTCACCATTGGCCCCTATGACTACACCCTAGAGGTCCAGGGCTCCTGCATCAGCTCCTTTATGGGCATGGACTTCCCCGAGCCTGTTGGTCCCCTTGCTATCCTGGGAGACGCTTTCCTGCGGAAGTGGTACAGCGTCTACGATCTTGGTAACAACGCTGTTGGTCTGGCTAAGGCCAAGTAATGTGTGCCTGTTTGTAGCCGCCGCGCTATACCAACTGTGACAGAACGACGATACGTATATAGCTTCATTGCGGTAGCTTAGTCTGTTTTCAAGTCTCTACATGCCTGGGATTCGCTGCAGGAAGATGAACAGATCGAGTCTTTCATGCAGATACCTGCAATTCATTGTTTTGTTTAATGGATATCTCACACCTGTAGTGGATAGCTGATTTCTTGTCCAACCTTGAATAATATGCCCGGATTTTGGCGTATAAAGTAAGTACCTAGTAGCTGCAGCAAAGCATACGCTGGAGATCGTTCGTCATCTCATATTTGGTCTGGGCCAGAAGCTATGTAAGCTAGACCCAATCAGGCATTTGCCGCCCCCGCTCGGCCACACGACTCTTTGACGGACTTGGGTGAGTCTCGCTTTGTTGCCTTGGCTTTCCGGCCGTTCTTGGTCTTGCCTTGCAACAACAGCCACTTCTTTCATCCATCTCCAACGTTCCTTTCTCTCGTCTCATCATCTTCTCTTTTACCCCCATTTTTGACAGGAAACAAGCTTCATCTCATTGAATAATAAGTAGTCTCCCGTTTTCTGCGCCATCAATTTCAAGTCCAGAGTTGGAACAAAGCCTGTTTCTATATTGCTTTTGGGTCGCGTCATCTCGTGGCAATCGCCAGAGCTACATTGCTTCCCATCCTCTACGTCCGTGAGGTCGGGTTGTCTCTGTCGCATCCTGCGACATACATCTTCTAAACAGGATTCTCTACTCTTACGTCCTCTATACACATTCCGTCATCTGTATTTCCTCTCTTTTGCTGGGCGCTTCGGGTATGGATCCCTAGCGGTCAGGCATACCTGTTTCGCTCGCGATCGGAATCGCCCTGGGAATCGTCCTTCCTTCTCATAATAGCTATATTATAGAAGGTAAGGGTCTACCGGGGTTGGATAAGAGAATAGCGAGAGGCAACCTCGCCTGCCCGATACAAGAGCATGCTTCTTCGGTTACCGCCCAGCCTCCATTACCCGATCACCGTCACGTCGCTGCTCAAACAGCCGGGCGACACGGTTGAGAGGGACGAGGCCTTGTTCTGGTATGTGTACCAGACAACTGTCACCGAGGGTGATGGGCTGGGCAACAAGGTCGAGGTTCAGCGCAAATTTCCCACGAAGTTCGAGTCGACCGTTGATGGTGAAGTGGTTCAGTGGAAGATAGCCAAGGGTGATGTTATTGAAGTACCGTAAGTCATTGGCTACCCTCGATCTGGGAAGGAAATGCGTGTCTCCTGGACAAGGTGCTGATATGCGCTGTAGTATCGACGTCGTGGAGATCGACGAACCATGCGCCCACGAAGTTCAATTTGGAGGCCTTTGCGCCGAGTGTGGAAAGGATATGACCGAGTGAGTGGCATTGTGTTTATTTGTATAGGATTCGCCGAGATAGCGGGAACTAACCATTTTGTTCATCACGACAGGGCGACATATAATACTGAGGTCATGGACTCCACGCGCGCGCCGATTCAGATGGTACATGATAATACTGCCCTTACCGTAAGCGAAAAGGAAGCGACGCGTGTGGAGGAAGATGCGAAGCGTCGCTTGTTGGCGAATAGGAAGCTCTCTCTGGTTGTTGATTTGGATCAGACTATTATCCATGCCACAGTCGACCCTACCGTCGGAGAATGGATGGAAGACAAGGACAATCCTAACCACGAAGCTCTGAGCGACGTGCGAGCTTTCCAATTAGTTGATGACGGTCCGGGCATGCGCGGTTGCTGGTACTACGTCAAGCTGCGACCTGGGCTCGAGTCGTTCTTGCGGAATGTCTCGGAGCTTTTCGAGTTGCACATTTACACCATGGGCACTAGAGCCTACGCGCAACATATAGCTGGCATTGTAGATCCGGACCGTAAGCTCTTTGGTGATCGCATCCTCAGCCGCGACGAAAGCGGCAGCTTGACGGCTAAGAATCTCCAGCGATTATTTCCGGTAGATACAAAGATGGTGGTCATCATCGACGACCGTGGAGATGTCTGGCGATGGAGCCCTAATCTGATCAAGGTTTCTCCCTATGATTTTTTTGTTGGAATTGGAGATATCAACTCCAGTTTCCTTCCGAAGAAGCAGGAGTTAGGGGGAGCCGTCAAGCCTACAGAACAGGAAGCCAAGGGAACGAAGGAGCTACCGATGCAACAACCTCCTCCGAATGGTGCAATCGCCAAGCCTGCAGCCGAGGTTTCGACGCTGGAGCAACTGGTGACCATGGGCGGTGGGGACAATCCAAGGTTACTGCGAGAGCAGAGCGTCGCGCAAGAAGAAACGATCATGCACCAGGTTGAGGACCGCCCATTGTTGCAGAAGCAGAAAGAGTTGGATGCGGAGGATGAGGCGGCAGAAAGCGGTGATTCTGCCTCGAGCGTGGAAGACACTCCAGATTCGACCAAACACCGACATCATTTATTGGAGGATAACGACCGGGAACTCTTCCTACTGGAGGAACGACTGGAGCAGATACATAGGCATTTCTTCGAGGAGTATGATAAGAAGCGGTCGCGGGCGCTTGGTGGAAGAGTGGCAGCTCTGAGAGGAGAGCGGGGAACGTCCAAGGAGAAAGATATCGACCTGAAGTTGGTGCCGGATGTGAAGGATATCATGCCACGCATCAAGCATCGTGTGCTTGGCGGTGTCGTCCTTGTTTTCTCCGGGGTACTCCCGCTGGGAACCGATACACAAAATGCCGACATTTCTCTTTGGGCTAAGAGTTTCGGGGCGGTCATTTCCACCAAGATCAATATGAGAACGACGCATCTAGTGGCTGGTCGGAATCGCACGGCGAAGGTCCGCGAGGCCACGCGGTATCCGAACATCAAGATTGTGACCACTCAGTGGCTTTTGGATTCGCTGACTCAATGGAAACGGCTGGAGGAGGAACCGTACCTGCTTCCTGTGCATCCGGATGATCGAGGCGAGCCAATTTCGCCTGGGTCAAAAGAGCTTGAAAGCGGTTGGCTGTCGTCATCAGACGAAGAAACTGGTGGATTCTGGACGGATGACGATGAGGGGTCGCAATTCAACGAAGAGATTCTGAAATCCTCCGGGCTCAACGAGACGTCCCCCATCGGCTATGATGCTGAAGAGCAAGCTGCAGTGCACGACGAGCTTAAGGAGTTTCTGGGCAGCGATGACGAGAGCGAAAGTGACAGCGAAGTATCGCTCCTAGCGACTGGCAAGAAGCGGAAGCGCGATGACGAGTCTCAAGGCACAGATGAAGTCGAGTCGGACGGTAGTCAAGGCGAAGAGGGAGAGATGGAGGGCTCGCGCCTGTCGCAACGGATCAAACGGTCCTATGAGCGTACTACAGGGCTTAAAGAGGTTGCAACGGCAGATACCACGAGCACGGCGGAATTAACACACACCAGCTTGCCAAAGGAACGCGGTGGAGATACGGATGAAGCGTTGAACGAGCCAGAGGAGCCCGCGCCGCGAGGGCAGGATGTCGTCAGTTATCCGGAGGACGAAGACGATGAGCTGGAGCGGGAAATGTTGGCTGCATTGGAGGATGGGGACTACGATCCTAAGGCTGAGGAAGAGATTGCAGCTGAGAATGGGTAGAGGGAATCCAGTTCACCGATCTACACACGCGGATTTTGTCTGTATATTACGGCAATTCTCTTCGATGCTTGTCTAAACTGATATTATGTGCGGTTGCGATGCGACAGGGCATAGCGACGGCGTTTGGGCTGCTTCATGTTTGAGTCTGGGCCACAATTGAGCCAGCCGGTGTTGAGAGTCGCATAGGTATATTGGACGATAGCTAGTCTTGCCATATAAGGATACAACAGAATGACATGAACATAGGGAGACACAAAATGCAGAGTCAAAAGGAACCGAAAATAAGAACGCCTTCCATGCATGATGCAGAGCCAGTAGGTATATCACATAACATAATTCAATCATATAGCATCGGAACATTCGTATCAATCATATACATCGCGATTAACCTGCCAGGACATGACCATCATCCAGAGAAAGAAGATGGTATTGACCAGCTCAAACGCAAACGCTGTTTTCCAGCAACTACCTATGTCGATCGTCAGTCATCAGTCATCAGTCATCAGTCATAAGCACCCTTCGTTCGGCTTTCCAGCCCAGAACACCACTGAAATGTATAGGGACAGACATACAGATGGTACTCTGCGTCAACCACGCCAACGTATTGATATTATTCCCCGTGGACGGATTCTCGACCACATAGTTCTGACAGTTGTCGTTCACGTTCCCCACAACCCCATACAGCTGCAGCGAGGTCTCGATCAGGCCCGTCAGCCACAGCACGAAGAGGATAAAACTCCCGATGATGATGATCCCGGGGAGGAGGAAGCGCTGCGCTGCGAGGAAGAGAACTAGGAAGATGAAGAAGACGCCGAGGCTGCCGCTCACGACCATGTAGGGGAAGAGCCTGTAGACAGGGTCTCGTTAGCTTTTGTTGCATGGTGGGTAGGGTGTATAGGGAGAGGGGAAGGCTACCATGGAGTCCCCAAGCGGAGCTGCGACTGCACGGCCATAAACCAGGCGAAGATGCCTAGGCAGATTGCGGAGCCGGCTAGCACGATGATGATCCAGATGTTGAGTTGGAGTTCGGGCCAGCGGTATCGGCGGCGGCGGTGGACGCGGGCGGTCATTGTTGGTGGTAGGTAGGTATTCGAGATTAGGGTTTAGTGATGATGCATGGAGGAATAGAGTCTATTCTCGTGTTGCGATACTCTTGATAGGAGGCTGTTCCAACGATTCAATAACCAGTCGAATTTGGGGCGCGAACTCCCTATAGAGGAAAGGAGATAGTTGGGTGTCAACTGGCGACTGGCGACAGTGACAGATCGGACGACACACTGAGGGATGAAAAGAGACAGCGCATCGGCGCCGCAAATCCCACGTCGAGGCCCCCTCGTGGATGATCGGGCTTGAGGCCGGAGTAAGGAGTTCTGGTATGAGTGTTCGTTGGGTTGGTTGGTCGCTTTGTTGATGCGTTGTTCAGGACGTTATGTAAGCTGGTAGTTGTTGCATGGCAGTAACTGAAACAACTTGAAATCCGTTGATGCTCCGTACGTAGGTTGCTCTTTGAGTAATTGTCTGTGCATGGTTATGATACTAGTGATAGAAGAGCAAAAACTCGTTGAAAATGGGTGGCAGGAAACGATCTACTCGTGGGTAAAGGGAGTTTTGGATGTAAATAGCGGTGGCTGGAAATAGAGCAAACCAGCGTTATTGGCTCGGGAGCCGGCAGGATCAACAGGCACGATCAACAGGCACGACACCAACATGTAACTAACATCGACATAAATACTCAAAGAGTAAGTGTGGGTGAGTTTTGATTACCTGCTACTCTCCTCAGTTGACGCATTTCATCAATTCATTGTTTAGCCTGGCGGCGGTCAGTCATGTCTATCTAACAAGTACATATACTCGTCTAGCCCGTTCATATAACCATCAACCTGCGAAAGTGGAGAAGAAAGAGGACAGAGAGAAAATGGAAACAGAAGAAATGCTATCACAGGAGTGTGTCGCCCAGTGCGCAACGCACCAGAGAGCAACCGGCTCGGATGGTCTCTGAAGCGCCGACCTCATCCAGACTGGGGTTGACCTCTACCAGATCCATGGCGACCAAGTTGCCAGTCTCATGAACACATTCGCAAATGAAGTCACCCTCACGCAGAGTCAGTCCTCCACGGACGGGAGTGCCTGTGCTAGGGGCCCATTGAGGGTCCAAGGCATCAACGTCAAACGAGAGATGGATGGGTGTGTCGTTGCCAATGTGAGCGAGCGCCATTTCAACCACGCGGCCGATTCCGTGTCTACTAACGGTCAGATACACTTCCCAAGATGGTCTTCACCCGAAGGAGAAGAAAGAGAAGCTCACCTGTCAATGTCATGCATGCTGAAAGCCTTGATACCATGCTCCCGCAGCAGCTGCTTCTCGCCGCGGTCCACATCGCGCAAACCGATATACACCAGCTTGTTCTTGTTGATGATGTGCTCATCCTCCAACCACCCGAAAATATCCTTCTTCTCCTCCCGGGCCAGCCGCGTCAAGAAAGCCATGGGCATCCCGTGGATGTTCCCGCTGGGGCTCATCTCCGGCGTGTTGATATCGGCATGCGCATCGACCCAGATGACCGCCATCTCGCGGCCCAGTCGCTCACGAATGGCCTTGGCCGTGCCGGAGATGGTGCCGATGGCGATCGAGTGGTCGCCGCCTAGTGTGAGGACGAACTTGCCGTCCTTGGCGTAGTCGTAGACCTGCTTGCTGAGCGTCTCAGTCACGACGCTCACGGCGCGCGGCTTCTTCATGCCCCGGTGGTCGGGATCGCTCATGGGGGTCTGGTTCTCGTAGTAGTGCACGGTGTCGTCATAGTGAAGTTGGTAGCCCAGGTCGTCGCGCACTTGATTCAGAAGACCGGCTTCAATCAAAGCAAGCGGAGCTGCTTCAACGCCTAGTTTGCACTATACAGATAATGTTAGTTGAAGTCGTTCGCTTAATTCCTTCCTTCCGCCGAAGGATCTGCGACAATGTATGCAAGTAAGCGTCATACCTGGCCACCATTAAATCCGACAGCGACCACGCCCAGCTCATTTGGCTTGGACAGGAATCTTTGCTTGATAGTCGATGGCGCTGTCATTTCGAGAGTGAGTGAAGAGGATTTAATTTGTATAAAGACGTGAGGTCCAGAGCAGAGATCAAGAATTGATAACGGGGAAAAAAAAAAGGTGCTGTTCTAGAAGAACTAAAGCGATAAGATTAAGATTGCGCGCGGTGGAGATCAGATCCGAGATGAGATGCCTCAGGCCGGAAGTCACTACTGCTCCGAGTACAAGCTGCAACACTGTTGATACCTTGGAAGATGGAAAAGGGGAGTGAAAGTGACTCTTCAAATGAGAGAATCAAGTCAATTTATGTCTCATTCCTCCGACGACAGCCGTGGGGGCCTTGCCGTCGTGAGAAAACAGGGCGAAAAGTGGTACACGACTGTGATCGCTAAAAACTGCTTTTAGGGATCATGGATTTCCCCTAAGTACAGGTCCAGGAGAGACGCCCGCTTGCGGGCTTCAACCCACTCCACCCTCATATTTCTATGACCAATGGTTTGGATTTATGCTTCTTTATCTAAAATACAACTCCCGCGATGATCATATTTGGTCCGTAGTCATATGGAACTGCTGGATTGTCATATTGTTCCGTCGGCCGGAGGATGACGGTCGTTAGTGCGCGGGATTTCCAATTCGAGAAATCAATAGAACTCTGTCTGTCCTATCACCGGAGGCTGATGGTATCTTATGACAAGGGGTATCATTCATAGATTACATGCTATATAAAGTACACATTGTGAAGGAGCTGCTACGGCTGATCTGACTTCCCGAGGATAAGCTCTCTCAGAATCTCATCCGCTTTCTGAGCTTCTACCCGGCCTTTCTCGCCCATGCGCATCATCTGTCCGACAAACCAGCCTAGCTTACCCAGCTGGTTCTTGGCGCGGATCTGCTCGACCATCTGCGGGTTCTGACTGACGGCTGCTTCCGCCAGAGCAATGTACTCCTCCCGGGACAGCGGACGAAGGAGTAGATTCTCTTCCTCGAGGAGCTGAGGAACAGGTCGACGATCACCATCGAAGACCATGACGAGCACCTGCTTGGCGGTGGCCCCCGTGATGCGTTTTCGCTGCAGCTGATCGATGATTTGCGCAAGGGTCTCGGCGGGTACTCGTTGCGCATCCCAAGTCAAGTCCGCCTTGGCCCAGAGGCCTCCCAGCTCGTGTAGCACCCAGTTGCCAGCCGCTCGCGCAAGACCCGCATGAGACTTGGCATCGTGGTCCTGCTGCAGGTCCCGCAGAATGTCTACCACATCCTGGTAGTATTCCAACCTCGCTCCGTCGTCCAGCTCAATCAACGGCTTTGCATCCTCGATCGAGAGTCCATACTCTGGGCCAGCCAGCATGCCGATCAACTGATCCGGAGGCGTCGGAAGCGAATCTCTCAGACCGGACACGAGGTCGTGACCGATAATCAGCGGAGGGAGATCCGGGTCCGGCATATAGCGATAGTCCACTTCGCCTTCCTTACCTCTGAGTTTCCGAGTCTCGGTGCTTCCGATAGTCCAGCCTCGCGTCTCGCCTTCTATGACGCCTCCGCTTTCGAGGACGGCGATCTGACGGTTCTTCTCCGCTATGACGGCGTCTTCGACCGCTTTGAAGCTGCTGAGGTTCTTGATCTCGGTGCGCTGGCCCAGCCCCACGATGCCCCCGTACTGATGGGTGCCGGGAGCCTCGTCCCGGCGGCGAATTGAGACATTCACGTCCGCTCGCAGTCCACCCAGTTCCATACCGGTAGTCACAGCACTGCAGGATTGTAGAATGGCCTGAATCTTCCGAACACATGCTGCGGCGGTGGCAGGAGTGTGGATCTGCGGCATGGTGATGATCTCAATGAGGGGATGGGATACTCGGTTGAAGTCGAGAAGTTGAGTGGAGGGAGGATATTCCTGAGACTTGGCGGTGTCTTGTTCGAGCTGGATCTGTTTGATGCCGATACGAACATGGTCGCCGTCCTCAGGTGCAATGCCGTCATGTTGAAAGAGATCCACGTAGCCGTTTTTGGCGAACGGTTCTATGTCAATGTCAGATCCGTAATCGCCACCGACCGCGGAGGAGAGGAAGCTACCGTAGTACTGTGTGATCTGATACCCCGCAGGTTGATCCTGATAGAAGTAGTGTTTTCGATCGAACCGACTGACTGGTTGGATGTCACAGTTCAAGGCAATCGCAGCGCGCAGGGCGGGTAACAAAGTCGTAGCTTGGAATTCCTATCCATATTAGCAGCTTCCAGTAGCGCATATTGCTAAATACGAACCGGCTGACTGCCCGGAAACGCCAGGTCAAAGAGAGCAACATTTGAGTTGGGGGTGTCGGTGTTCGACGTAGAGGCCACTGCTCACACAGATCAGATTGTGCATTTTGGGCCAGGAAGGATAGCAACATAGATTCGACGCACTCGAAAATAGCTTGGTTTCAGTGTTCAACTGGGCGTGGATCTCAATGCCAACAGTCAACTCCCACTTTTGCCGGGACGCTTCCTCGCTTTCCCTCTTCTGTCTCTTCTGAGCTTTCAGAGCCTTTGCGTCTTGTTTCAGCTGCTTCCGCAATGGTATGCGTTCCTTGGATTCTGTAGCTGATGTCTGTAGCGATCTAATGCAACGATGAGGTGCGGTTGGTAGAGGGCTATGCCGGAGGGAGCCAGACTGGGGGCCGCGACAACATGAGCCTCTAAGAAAGCGGGCAGCTCCGGGGCTTTGGCGAAGCCATCGTTGGAGCATGTGTGGGGGCGGGGAGCGATGTAGTATGTGATTTGTGAAAGATAGAGATACTGATTTGTTGGTTGACTCGAGCAGCGACTGGTCTCGAGCACTAGCCTTGAGGAATAGCTGCGGATTGTACCTCCGTATGGATGGACAAAATGTTGTCGATGTTGAAGCGGAATTTGCGCGTCATACAGTAATGGGATTACCACGTATAGCAAACCACCACAGCCACGAAATCCGAAACAATGGTAAATTACGGTTCACCGCTTGGGTTGTCGATCATTTTAGAGCATTTTAGTATCATGAAGGCTGGGATCATTGTATAGATGAATAGTTAGCTGGGAGTTAATACAGAACAATAATAGAAATAGAATTCGAGATCAACTTCTGAATGTGATCTTGGCTTAGGCGAGCACTCTGTATATGCAAGTCATTCATGTTAATCTGTACTGCCCTCCACATCCTCCTGGCGATGGTCATCTACACAACCACCTAAGGTTATCGGGCCGTAAACAACGAATCGTAGTGGTTCCCGATGTGTCCCACGATGGTTTCATGCCCAAAGTCTGCTGATCTGATGATGTTGACCTCTCACAGATCATCTCTATCACACTCTCTCACTGGTCTAGAAGTCAAGCAAGACAAGATCATCAGCTCCGACAGAATCGCAGGGAAAGTCCTGTGCATCCCGAGTCCCCACCCTCGTCTAGCTGCAAGACATGGGCATCGTCCACAGCGAGTCACCGCCAGCCAACGCACCACTGCTCGTTCTTTTTGTCTTCCAATAGATCAGAGTTCATCTAGAGTCATGCAGGACAGTATCTATCATGGTTTCACCCTTGTCAGAGTCTGACAGACGTCCACTGCAGCCATCACCTGCTGCTGTTAATACTTGACCTCTGCATGCCGGATTCCTCCTCTTCATCAGCTATTGCAACAACCGGAACTGCAGCTAGATAACCGAGGAGAAAAGGAAAAGCAAAAATAAGAAAAGACCCAATAATTTAAGGCACACTTCTTGAAGATACTCTTCCTATCTTGCGATCAGACATCACTCCTTCTTGTCAGCCTTTGGCGCTTGCTGGGATTCCCTGGGACGAATTGGACTCATCCACCCTCGGCGTCGCAAAATTCGCGACAGGTTGCGACAGGGCGAAGCGCTTCTGTCTATCGAATGACTATTGAATATAGGGCCAACTCTATCCCAACTAAACATCCCAAGAGTCAAAAATAGCGACTGCGCCATCAGTTACCGTTTCAGCTTGATCATCAATTCCTGGGGCCGAACTTCTCAAGTAGCCCGAATTACATTTGATCCCGAGGACTGCTGACCACCCCAGCACGGCTCATTGTCACTCAAGAAGTCATTATTTCTCCTGATGTACCTGTGCATATGCATCGATCCTTATCAGCGACAGTCCCCAACTTGATAAACTCAACTCTATTGCCGTTCAAAGACAGAACTACCCCACATTCTGTGCTACATTCTTCGTGTTCGTCTGGCATAGACCATTCCAGGACATTCAAAACGGTCGTCGCCTCCCTTGATATGCCTCGAGTGCTGTCTTCTTTATCGATCACAGCCCTTTGCTTTCTGTTTTCATTGTCTTGGTGTCTTGGCCTCTCTTCTCTACCCCGGGAATGTCTTGAAAACCGCATCTTCGCGACTCCCTTGAAAGTTCCAAATTGAACTATTCACACACCACAAACCCAAACCGGTCAAAATGCCGTTGTATTCCAGTTCCAGTCGCTCCAAGAAGTCAAATAGATCATCGGCAGGTTCTGTCCTCTCTATGACGTCTCGGACGACTTCTAAAGGTTCCAAGTCTTCCGTAGAGAAAAAGGAAAAGAAAGAACATGCCCAGGTACAACCTGGTGCACACAAGGATGATGAACCAAGTCGGAATTACGCTCAGAAGACACAGGGGGGTCTGAATTCCACGCGCAACTCGACCGATCCAGACAAGAAGGCTCCCAACGTGTTTGAGTACCTCGACGCCGATGAATCTTCAGATAATGGTAGCTCATCGTCCGATGCAGAAGAAAATGTGAGTGAGCCTTCCGGCCAGCCCTCGAACGTCCTCGAGACCTACCCCAAACATACATACCCTGGTCTCAACACCGATGCACGTACCAACACTTTGTCGCAGGGCCTGGCGCATAGACAAACAAGCATCCGTAGTCAAGCCTCGTCACTCAAGTCCAAGAGATCGGCAAACTCGCGGCAGCTACCGCAGGTTGATGTATCTCCGTCTACAGTGCCACTGCACCTGCCACGAAATACAGGAGATCGAAAGCTCTCCTTGGAAGAAATATACAACATCCCCGGCGCACTCACCGACAGTCCAAATCCTACCGGCAACTTGAATTTGGATCTTGCTACTTTGCCGGAGACTTACTATCCTCCTCGAAACTCTTCTACGTCGCATAGGCCTCCGCTTCCCCCATCTCCTCCGCGAAGCCCCAAGGAGGATCTTCATCGGACAGGCAGGAAGGCTCGGCGAGGCACCAAGTTGTCGCACATACCTTGCGGTTACGGCATTCTCTCCAGCCGACTAAGCTCGTCCTCCGACAGCAAGGAACCCAGTCTTCCTCCTTTATACCGCCGGTTCGAAGATCTGAACCACCGTGTCCTCCTTTATCTCCAAGATGAAATTGCGCAAATGGAAGAAGACCTGAGAATTCTCGACGAGTACGAAGAGATGCATCGGGTCGCCACCGCCGAACGGGAGGGAACGAAGAAGCTCCCCGCTTCGAGACGCATGGATGCTCAAGCTCAGGTTTACTCGTCTTTGCATTACAGACGGGTAGAGGTAATGGGAGCCTTGATTCACAAGACGGAGCAATACAGTAAGATTACAAGTATATGCAACTTCTGGTGTCTTTTCGCTGACGCACATTTTCAGACAACGCCCTCGCAGCATATAGCCGAGTCCTGCAGACCATACCCAGCGCCTCAGATAAAGACATCGAGACCTACCGCACCTGGATGAAAGACCATTCACCCATTATAACAGCCGAGTCCCGGTTCTTAGACCACGGCAAAGACCTGATCTCCTTGTCGCCCCGCCGCGCATCTCCTACTGCCTCCGTCTACTCCGCCATCATCATCGCCTCGGCCGCTATCCTCCTCCCCTTACTAGCCTTCAGCATGATCTCCGAATTCTCAGGTCGTCTCCTAGTGGTGGCCCTTGTCGGCGGTGCGGCTGCCGCGATAGCAATGAATTATTCGTCCGGTGCAGAGCACCTTGAGTCTCGCGATGGATGGAGGTCTGCAACATTGTACGTATCTGACCTTGCACACCCTCTATCAATCTCGTCTCTTTTCTGTTTATGATTACCTCGCTCGAGGTTGCCAGCTTGAGATAGCAATTACTAGCATCAGAAACTCACTCACCGTTCACAGATACTTTGGCTTCATGACCATAGCCGCCATGTTCATCCCTTGATCGCCATCGACTGCTGCGGTACGACGGCTCGACGCTTTTCTTACTTTCCAGGACACTGAGCCTTCCATTCATATCTTCAGTCTGATTAGCCTCCGGGTCACATACAGAAAGAGACAGACAGCCATCGACACTGGCAGAATGAGATAGTCCTAGTGACCATGTATTCATAGAATGATGTATACTACGTTAATGATAAGTCACTTCACGAAAGACAGTATCATTCAATCCTTAAAGTAAAGTAGAAGAGCTTGAATTGGATTCATATTGATAGAGCCGCAATCTTTAAAACTACAGAACATGTCCACGTCCGACTCCCTACCGACCGGACAAAACCACCCAAAACCATTCTTTGAAAGCATTCCGCGCCGATCGCTAAGAAACTCCATCCCAGAGTACAGGCAGACGGCGGCAGTAGTTGTTGGTAAAGCATTATAAAAGTTAACAAAAGAAGAAGATCACGAAGTGAAGATTGAAGGAAGTCACTCAGGGAAGAACAGCAATCATTTAGCAGTTACACATTTCACTCAATAGTGAAAATTGGTGATGATAATAATGTCATGGTTGAAGATCAACATGAAAAACGATCTCGAGTCTGACTTCCCAGCCGCCAATCTAACAAAAAGTAAAGAAAGAAAAAGAGAGAAATACAGTAAGGCATGCCCAATCCGAATCGAATCATCACCGTGTCACCGTAACCACGCCTCAAAAGTACTAATATTAGCAAATGAGAAAAGAGAAAGCCGTCACGAAGGTACAGGAGTGCCATTTTGCTTGATAGCTGGCGTTATACTTCGGTCTTGGGAGCTGGCATCCGTAGTAGGCTGAGGGGTTGAGCTCTGCCGGGTTTGTTGTGCTAATTGCGCTTTATTCCGGTCCATCAATGCAGCCTGTTCAGCAGCACTCCGAGCATAAGCCATTGCAGCGGCAGAGTTGGAGTAGGTGTTTGGCGCAGGGGGAGCTTGGTTGGAAGGGTAGTTGTAATTGGACGGTTGCTGCTGCGGGACATACCGCTGCTGGGGGGTTGCAGAGCTTGGTGCCATATATGGTGCTCGTGCCCGAGGGGAGACATTTGCTGGCTGCTTCTGCGGTGAGCCACTACGCCCTGCAGCATACTGCGGGCGTATGCTCCAGGCTGTGCGGGCCTGGGCGCGTACGCCTGCGGAGAAACTTGAGCAGGCGGCAAAGCTTGCGGTGCCGCATAGGGGCTGTAGCCGTTTTGGCCCGGACGCTGGAACTGCTGAAGATTGGCCTGGTTATATTGCGGAGTAGGTTGTTGATATCCCGGCACAAAAGCGGGTCGCTGAGTAGGCGTTGCCGGAGGGCGAACATTAGCATAGTGCTGTAGAGGGCCTGGGGTATAAGGCCCTGAGGTCGAAGGTTGTCTTCCGCCGTAATACGGCTGGGGCGCCTGAAAACCAGCTTGCGGTTGTTGTACCCGAGCGTTAGCAGTATAGGCCCGCTGGTTGTAACCTGCCTGATAGCTTCCCGAGCGGCTAGGTGTAGATGTTCGGTTTGGCCCAGCAGCCATTGGTGCCATCGCCGCGGCCCGCTCCTGCTGCAGCGTGTAGTCATCCTTCTCCATAATGCCGTGATAGTCTGGATTATCGACCAAAATCTTGGTACTGATATTTAATTCGGCTAGCTGGTCACCATCCAACTTGGCCACGGCGTATGGCGGTAGGTTTGAGACGAGAGCGGCAAGACTGGATTTGAGCGTCTCATAGATACCCTGTTCTGCTGCAGACGCGTGAGATGGAGTGCCTTTGTCTGTTGCTGTCTTTTTGGGTTCACCGCCTGGAGCTGGTAGTTCCAGGTTGCGGATCTTCTGATATGAGCTCAAAGTCTCCAGCAGTTCAGAGACATCGAGCAACAGGTCATCCATGCCCTTCGATTCTGCTTCTTCCTTTTCTTTCTCCGAAGTATTCGTAAG